CCAGCAACGTGCGACACGAATCAATTTTTTGGTGCTGATACCAAGTTTCAAGTTCTCTGAAAAATATTGGCAGGTCATTTCTAAGTTCGTAGCGTTTCCATAAACCAATGAAATGACAAAATTTGTCAAAAATGATCGATAATGTACTACTGGCTGCTGAGCGCAACCTGCTGCCCCCTTGCTGTCAAGTAATCAACTTCGTTTTTCTAAAATTCAGCAGGTCTGGTCCAAAAAAGCTTTCTAGCAGCGCCTAAGATCGTCCTTAGATTCGGAACATGCACCGGTCATAGGGTTTGCAAGAAAGCGGGACAAAAAATCATCCGGTGGGGGAGGGGCGAGAGAGGTTTGAAGAGTATATCAGATGCTAATATGTCTCCCAGTCAAGTCTTGTAAAATAGATTTAACCTAAAACCGCTATCGCCACGTCCCTTTTGTTAGGGGTTATGGATCCGCAATGATTTAGGGATGCACCACAAAAAATTTTCATGCGTGGCTAACGCCAAGCATTCATTTAAAAAGATTTTTTGCAGCTCCTCCCGGTCCGAAATCCGGCGACTGCCAGCAAGCAAGTTAGAGAAACATGTCAAGATTCCTGACTTGGCCTCAAACTAGCCCAACAACTTACACTAATAGAGAAGATACATATTAACCTAGTATTTCTAGGAAGAACGCCAGATTGGCTGGTCATGGCCACTGGAACGTTCCTCCACAGTTTCTTGCCTTGTAATAGGCACTTCACCTACACTGGATGGGGTATGATGAGGGCTTCCACATATTTGAGAAAGGCTGGCATACGCGAATTTATGATTCTGTGTCTTATCTTAAAACTGATTTCGTCAAAGCAGCAGTTTATATCAACGAATGGTAATCGCTTTCCATTTTCTTTGGAAGCGTAAGGCGAGTTAGCATAAGCGACCAGCGGCATTCAGAACGAAAACTTTTGACGAATAGAGCTGCTAGGAGGTACTTATGCGAGGAGTGCGTTACAAAGTCTAAATTGGCGCTCATGGGCTAAAAAAAGGAAAATTCTTCCTGACTCGACCCTGTGTTTCGTCTCAAGATAGCCAACGAAGATGATCGACCAAAGATTGGCTGCATGCAAAAATTGCTCGCAAATGCTAGTTCTGGACTTTTGTTGCGAAGAACACAATCGTATTGGTCAGCAGGCCAATGGGTATTTGAAATCGATCATTGTTGAAATTGCACTATGGCTTCATACACGTGTGATTTTAACTTCGATACAATCGCTCGTGCGAAAAAGTCACCTGTTTTAAAAATCTGGGGTAACATTTGTGTAGTCGGCGGTATCTTCGTTAGAGAGAATAGCTGCTTGGTCACGCTCTTATGCAATTTGCGGTAGAAAATGATGAGTGTTTAGTCTTCTAGTTGAAGAAAGAAATTTCGTTTTTTACAATTATTAGCCAGAAGCTGGAATGTGAAGAGGCAGAGAGAGAAGGAGAGTAAGGCGAACCTGCTGTCCAACTCAACTAACAAGGGAGTGTTCTTAAGTCAGCTCGGCCAACTCGGATGGGTCATAAATCACCGCAACGCTGATTGAAACGCTGATTCCAAATCTGCTTTTCTTTTGTGCGGAATAACTCTCCGAGAGAAGTTATGAGCGTTTAAATGTCTAAACTTGCCATGTTTAAAGTGGCTTAAAATCAGTTGAAAGCTGTACAACACCTAACGGAATTTCACTATCTATGTTCCGTCCTTGTAATCAAAATACTTGATACAAAACTGATAAATCACTTTCGTGTGTTAGTGTACAGGTTTCGCCAATTTCAAGTCACTCAAAACATGACAAATTTAGACTTTCAAACGCTCATAACTTCTCTCGGAGGTTGTTCCGCAGAAAAGGATAGCAGGTTTGGAATCAGCGTTTCCAGTCCGTTACAGTGATATATGACCCATCCGGGTTGGTCGGGCTGACTTGGGAACTCTCCCTCTTAAGGACTGTAGCTCGCTGCACGAAGTTGATTTATTCAATTTGAAGGCAGTGTCCTGGCATAAAGTCGATTATGAGATTTTGTGCTTGTTCGGGCCTATTCGTTGTGCAAAATCCGAAAATCCACACTGAAGAGCGAAAGGCAAAAAAAGGGCTCCAACGCAGGAGGGAAACCAGCAGGTGGGCTAGCGAACCGAGAAAATCACTCCGGAAGCTGGGAGCGTGAATTTCCAGCGGGTCCTTCCCTGAAGCCTGTTTTCGCCGTTATCGCGCTCTTAAATGTGCATTTTCGGTTCAGCATAGCGGATAAGCCTGTTAAGCACAAAATCTCAAAATCGAATTTTTGTCTGGACAATACCTTCAAGCCATAACTAGAACTTAAAAATCAACAAAATCTGCAAAATTTAGCTTATGTTTGCTGTACAAGGAGCCGATCTACAATTTACGAGTATCGTCGATCAATTAAGCCTTCTATCTTTTTTTGCTAAGACGGCTGGTACTCGAGCGCTTAAAGGCAGTGTCTCACCAAAATTTAGTTGCCGAGATTTTTGCATTTTGCAAGCTTGTCGGACCCTGTCTAGCACTGTATGGGCTTAAAATCGCACGAAGTTCCCAAAAACCCCGTTTTCTGGGGGCCCCGTGGAAGCAACATGGACGAGTTGTACCTTCCAACTTCAGCCTCAACAGTGGCAGCAATAGAGGGGAGGTGGATGCCAAGTGGAGGGACATGTTCAAACGCGTAAGGGGGGAGACCGAAGGAGTCGTCCGCGCGTACCAACTCGCTCTCCGCGTACCACTTTGAGCGAATTTTTCTCAGAGTGGAGAGGGTCAAATTGAGTGGGACCTGTTGCAATGGCCTATTAAGAGCTCCCTATTACAGAATATGCGAAGACCCACGCGACCTCAACTTTGGTGAGACACTGCCTTTAATGCAGACGAGGCGCGCCCTTTGATTTATTATCGTGACCGCTGAAAGATAGACAGTTGAATTATGGGCTTCGAATCGGACGCTGCATGTGAAGGACCGAGGTTCGGTTAGTGTGCCTCGGGTATTGAACCAAGGACGGGATCGGACCGCGGCTCGGCCGCAATCCGGCTTCGAGAGCGACTGACCCTAATTTTTACTATATGAATATCTTATGCCGACAACGGAGGCTACAAACTCGGCATCATTGGTAAGGGTCGCACCGCACCTCCTGAAGCTCCACAGAGATATATGTTTATTGGAAAGGCCACTTGGCGTAGTTGGTGTGCAAGGATCAAGAAATCGCATATTACGAGAATAACACCCGTTTGAGCAAACGCCTATGACTTTTATCATTTTATCAATTTCCAGTAAATTTCGCGGCACAGCGTTGGCCTTGTCATGAATGTATAATAAGCCTACTGATTACGAAGAAGCTATGTCGTCATAATGCTCGCTGCAACAAATAATCTATGCTATTGCTGTAGGAGGGTTGATTTATGTCTAACAGCCCCCCCCCCTAAATTCTTAGAAACGAGGTGAACATGACTTCCTCTAGAGACGACTATCGGTGTAATCTAGAAGGTACGTGCTTCATCGTACACCTAAATGATCGTAAACAATCCAGCATTTTGTTGTTAAACTGTAAAGATACTTGCTCGAATCGTCTGTAGATCAAATTGTCCCTTTTAGGCTCCGACGAATGCCAACTGCCGAAACTGTAGCCGTGGATTGAATAAATTTGTTAGCAATATCGTGTATAGCTTCAAAAATAAAGAAAAAAATTATTGCCATGCCCAAAATTTGTCGAAAGCCGAACTGTTTATTTACAGTGTATACATTGTTTGGTAGCCTAGACCTTATATTAGGTCGTTCCTAAGTTCGTAGTATTTTTAACCAACAAAAACATTAATTTACAGTGAAAATCAATGAAAATCATGTTCTTCGTTGTGGCGCACGGCCTTCTGGCACATTCTTGTTAGCTTCTCAACCTCAATTTCTCAAACGGCAGCGCGCCGGGTCCCAAGAAAGTCATCTAACCAGCGCTCAAACTACTTACTAGAAGCGAGACAGGCACCATTTATGAGGCCAAAAAGCGGAGCAAATAATAATCTGATAGAGCGAATCTGGGAAGTATACTTTGGCTACTAAGTACCTTCCAGTCAAATCGTGCAGGACAGTTTTGACGACGTTTGCCGTATGAGACCATGTTTCGTCATGCAGAGAAGCTCACTGGATATGTCTGTTAAGCTTTTTCTGCGGTAGGACCTGGTTTAGACAGTGCAGTTGGATTGCTTACGGTATGGGTGACCATCGCCTACCTGTACAGCAATTTTCAGTGCAGGACGTCCTGCCCGTCCCCGAAAAGTCTTGTTCAGGGACACCCTGCTAAGCCTTTGTTGCAATCCCATATTTTTTGTCCCATATTGATGTGCGAGCGCCATGTTCCACAATCGACACGAAAATCTGTGCAAAAGCGCTCCTTTTGATAAGGAAAAATGCGCAAATGCCGAAATTGCTCCTTTTTGCCTTTCAAGATTTCCATCTTTGGAAGCTGCGAGATCCGAGTGAATCAGCTCCCCACCGAAATCAGTAGACGTATTTTAAAGAGCGCAATCAGCCCTTCCAAATGATATACGCATTTTGCCGCAAATCAACCGCTCCTCAAGGATATGAGGACGAGATCGAAAACGTTACGAACTTATAGAACGACCCAATAGTTTTCGCAGCAGTAAGTTGGGCTGATCCGTCTTCTTCATTCTGAATTTTGCTGAAAGCACAGCCTTTGAAAAGAAGAGGCAGAGAGCATTTTGGCTGGCTCCTAGTTCCATAGTTTGGCGATTATTTGATTGGGATATTTCACATTGATGAAGAAGAAGTACTGCTTTGTATCGAGTGCAAAAAGATTTTGAAATGAGTTAGTCATGTTTGAGGATGACCTTTCCACTCGGCGGGGCTAATATTTGGAATACCGCCCCAGATGCTTCAGTAAGCGGAATAGGCATGCTAAAAGCAATATAAATGTAGTAAAACTCTTTGGTTTATTACTTCACCTCTTTATGTATCTGCTTTCTTCTTATGCCCATATTAATTATTTTCACCATAGTTGATCTGATTTTCTGAATGGAAATCAACTTTCAGACGTAAATAGGGAAAACGGCATTGATATGTGTTATCGAGTGTGCATGCTGATATGTTAAAAAGACATAAGAGCGTTCCATTGAGTTTGCTTTCATCCTCATTCGATCCGCATCCGAGAGGGCAACCACAATGTACCAGCTAAAATCGAAACCGTTTACATTTTTGCTTGGTCAGACAAAATATATCAGGCTGTCCGGAAAATAATGTCGCATGGCATCCTACCGCGACAGAATGACTACAAAAAACATCGAGTGGGGTATCATTCAATAGAGCAAAGCAAGCTCTACAAGCTAGTTCACAAATCTCCGCGGAGATGTTGCTCCAACTGAAGTTCGAATCCAAAATATAAAAAATTTCAGACGCCCGAAAAATCGTATCTCCGTTCACAGACGTCTTAGAGATCTCCAATTTGCACAGGCATGTACTCTCCACACTAGACATTCATCTATATGGTTTTTGGTATTTTTCCATGGCTACAGTACGAGAAATAAAAAGAGGTCAAAAGTGCGAATATGTCGTGTTTTTCGGGTTTTTTGCAAACAACTTGATTTTTCTCGAAAACTGGCGCTTGTCTAAAGCTGAAAATTCATGGTTATACTCCTAAAGGTTCATGCTACAGAATCACCCATGTGAGAGAAGCTCAGGATTGCTTTGGCAAAAACATGCCAAATTTGGTTTTCTCAATTTTCAGCCATGGAAAAACCTCGAAAATGCGCGTACGAGTGTCTCGTATAGTAAGTCCATGCGTGAGCAAGTTAGGGGTCCTCAGGACTTCTCTGAACGGAGATACGGTTTTTTTCGTTTTTTCGGATTTTGAGTGCCTTGTGAAATTTGGCTCCAAACTTCACGCAAATCAAACCTGGCGCGAAGGTTCGAGCTCCATTATGTAGAGCTTGCTCTGATCTATCGGTTGATACCCCATTCACATACTTTCGTGCGCACCCTGCTGCGATATTGCATGATAAAACAAAAAGCGACATTATTTTCCGGACAACCATATACTAACAGTCATTTTAAAGGAAAAGGGCGTGGGATCACAAAAGTAATATGTGAGAATTCAGAATCAAATCCACTACCCGGTCACAATTTCTATGAAATGTAACGTTACAATGTCAGCCGTCTTCTGATTTTGTTATTGAATGTGCTGATCAGAGATCAAACCTTTGTTTAATCTTACGTTTCAGATTACCTAGCTCAATTTCTCGAAGTCTGTTATAGTTGTTTATTTGGGATAAGCCCAGGTTTCTGAGCGCATATGAATATAGAATTTCTATTGATTATTCAAAGCAAATCAATTGGTTATTCTGCACAAATAATGTTCAATGCAACCAAGGTTCAATTCGCAGAAAACTTCAAAGCTTCTATGTTTTTGCTGCAGCTGAGTGTTCTAGACCTCACCAAAAATCGAGATTCTTGAAGAGATCACTTTTCAAAGCTCTAAATAGCAGATCAGAAGAATTTTTTGATGACTTAGTCTGAGATCTTCTCTTATGTTGGGATTCCGCGTTGATTGAACGTCTCTGCGAAAAGTTGTTTTTAGCAAGCCGCATAAGACGCAAATCTGATATTCTAGGAAGTTTTTTCGAGAAAAAAAACTTTCCGTAGAGACATCGATTAGCACAAACTTTGCTTAGTTAAAGGAAGCAAGACAAGATACCTATGATACTGGCTGCTCCGATTTATTATGCAAATTTCAGATTTTTTATAGCCAGACACAGAAAAATTGAAGTATGAGTGATTTTTCTTCTACCGCTTCTAAGCGATTGTGCGTAATAGGACATGCGTAGCGCATGGTTTTTTTCTTCCAAACAGAATCAGATATATACAGATCTGTTACAATATTAGGAAGTTATGCCTTATTTGAAAATGGTGCGACGGAACTTTCATTCCAATTTATTAGGTCTGTTCTGCTGCACCATTTTCAAAATCCAACCTTCTTCCTGTAACTATGTTCTTGCTCAGTTTTGTTGTAAGGACAGGATTTGCACTTTCTAATGACACTCAGTTCACTCCCTACCAATCCCTGACTGCACAGATAATAATGGAAGGATGAGGACATTTGATGTTCGGTAATTTGAATCGAGCCCCAAAATTTTAAAAACTGTGCATGAAAATCCATAAAATGGTTTTATAAGTATTCTGCCTCTCTTCCTAATTAAGCAAAATTTTCGCTAATCGAGCTCTTCTTCAAAAAGCATGATTTTTGAATGCGAAGACGGGCAAATAATTTTGACGTTTTTCTTGAAATTTATAACTTTTCATAGAAAAGTCAGATCAACACAAAGTTTTCTACATTGGAAAGAGGAGTTCGAAAACGCATGAAGCAGCACGGTTTTTTAGATTTTCAACGGACCTTGTCTCAAATCACTGAACCTCGAAGATCTCCTTTTTCTAATTTTATCTTTGCATCAAAGCTTAGTAGAGATCAAACACTCTTTATAAGAATAATCTTGCCAAGTAAGAATATTGTGACAAGAAGAAGTTACGGATTTTTGAAAAATGGTGCGAACTTTCGGACCAACATAATGATAAATTCGATTTTTAGCACCATCGCAGCACTCCTTTTGGATTCGCAGTGTCATGCAAAGCGCTAAAAATCGCAAAACCGTCGAAAATCGCCTCTTTTAGAGGTCACACTGTCATCATTTATGACCTGACTTACTAAGAGATTTGCCTTATTGAGTTAAACTTGTCTCTTGTCAACTTGTCAAATCTCTTAGTAAGTCAGGTCATAACTCATAACTTGCCTTATTGAGTTTCATACAATTTTTGATGGTCATGAGAAATTAAATTGACACAAACCGACTCCCAGCCGTAGTTCCATTTTGTGAAAGCTTCTTCAACGACGGCTCTAGGCAATTCGCCTCTTCCATGTGGATATCTAGAATTTTTCGATGACAATAGGTACGATTAAGCAAAAAGATTACCTATAATTGTAAATTAAAGCCCCGCAACCAACTGGAGCTTTTCGGTTTGTCGCAGCGTAGGGGGCCATATGTTCCAAGTCGCAACTGTAATTCTGTTGAGAAATAGCTCTCTTTAATTTAAGTGTAATTAAATGAAGATATTTCTACTGTAAATTCAGCTCAAATTTATCTTACTTCCCGTAAAAGGACAAAAAATTTACGGTAGTGAACAGCGTATTCCCGAACACCGAGTCGAAAGCATTTGCCCACTTTTTAGCTAATCCATCGCAACCAAAGTGAAATGCGACCACTGACGAAAACTGCAGTTAGTTTTACCACAAGTAGGAATATAGATATGACTTACCAGAAAACACAAAAACTTTGTCATGGAGTAGTGTGGTATCAAAGACCATGCAATTCACCATGTTATATATAAAGTGTTTAATTAATCGGGCTATTGAGCCAAACGGCTCTTTATCATTGTACATGCTGTACGCTGGGCCACATCGTGGATGCGAAGTTCGGTTCTGTCGAAAACAATGCAGGCGCTCGCAAAAACAAACGCTTTAAAAAACTTGCACTTGTGATGCTGGTGACCACAGAAATATCATTAGTTGCTCTGCGTATGTTGATAATGTGATCAAAGTTCAAATTCTTGCACTAGTCATCGTTTGTCAGTTTCAAAACCGCGGCGTTTTTGTTGAAGTGTGGGCATTTTTGAAGGGATACCAAAACTGCCCTTGAATGCTTTGCAGACTTTTTAACGAGTGGCAGCACATAAAGATGTAGCGCAAAACAAATCGTAGATTTACTGTTCCTCAAAAATGATGCCTTCAGAGGATGCGCGTTATCATTAATTGCTCTGCCTTGCATATAAGGATGTCATGTGTGTGACTACATGCATGTGCTGGATGGAAAATTCTATTGGAGTGAGGGTGTCATTGGTCATTACCCCGTCAGTGATCAACAACAATTTGTTAATTTTTCAGCAAACTTTGGGTTGACCGTCGCTTAGGGTGAGTATGCTAATCAAGAAAATAACACTCATTAAGAAAATAATTCATCACATTTATCGATTTTACCAAATTTTTGGAACTGTGGAGTTGGAGTTGGTACGCAAGGAAGGAGAAGTGAATGCTGATCACGACTACTACAACAGTCTCAAATGTACGACTGTTATCGTTTATTTTTAATCCTCCGCGTCTGAGCTGAAAAGGGGAGATTATTGCCTGAGTCGTGACTTTACTATAAATCAAAATGTATGGATTGTCGCCAGCTGGCGGAGTCATGATCCCTGATGAAGAGAGACGGTACAACTAAGTTGTTAAACTCTCAACGGTAGGCACACACAATACTGGAATATCAGAGGATGCCTAGAATCAGCGGAAAGAGCATTTGACACTGTGTAATTATGTTTAAAGATGTCAAAGTTCAGAAAGTTGTGAATAGTCTGGCGCATTAAAAAAGAGTTTGCGCCATACAAGTGCAAATTTAGATAAGGAAATAATAATCTGAGCGGCAAAAAAAAAATACTGGACAGAATCCTCACAGATTGATGATTAGCATACAGTGCTGCTTATTTGGTTGACTAGTGAAAGTTATGAAGGATAAAGATTGCTAAAGTGTTTTAGTTAATTTGTTTTCAGTTGTAGTTATGTATTTGTTTTAGTTGTGCTCAGGAAGCTCTGCTAGTGTTTTAACATCTCTGCAACTTTTTTCTTATACGAGATGGTGCCATTGTGTTCATTTCTTTTCCGAAGCTGCGATGGTGTAGCAAAACCAAATGATTTGAAATTAATTTGAATTGAACTTATTTAGAAATGTAATTTTATCAGTGTAGATGAATTCTGTGAGGTAGCCGATCCTAGTAATCATGGTTATTAATCTTGTTCTAGAACTAGGGTCCACCAGGGTGACAAATGTAAAAAATGGAACAATAGCATTGATCTTTTCATTCAAAAGAGTTATCCTCTTTAAAGTGCATCTGTACAAACTTGTTCTAATCGGGTCAGAAATTTTCAAGGGGAACTTACAACAACTTCCGTCAATGTATTTGAATTATTTATGCATGCATACATAGTAAACAGTGGCGTACCCAGGATATCTGCTCGGGGGGGGGGGGGGTGGGCGACAAAAAAATTTTTTTCGGATGAAGGTGCGTGGCGTCAGTCACGCACTCCGAAAATTTTCTTGCGATGCTTTCAGAAATTTTCGCGGCCCCCTGAAGCAAAAATTTTAGAAAAAGGGGGCATGGCGGCAGCCACGCCCCAGAAAAATTTTTTTCTAGGCTAATTTAAACTTTTAAAAATTTTTAAAAAATTATTTCAATTATTTACAAGTATAAAAACAAGTCGCCTGCACATTTCTATAACACATTTAAGTAACTTTCCAAATTTTGCGACCCATTCTCGGGGAAGCTGCCCCCTCCTTCGCCTCCCCTCCCCCCACCCCTTCGGTACGCCACTGATAGTGAAGTACATTTATAGTGATATACAGAGCTACTTAAACTTTCTCCTTCCACAAGCATGCAAATTTTTTCATTGTTTTCAAAATGTTTTGTATCTTTATCTTGTATTTTTATCTAATGACGTTTTAGGAAAGTAAACTCCAAACTTCTCCGACAATTCGTGATCACGATCCGATAGTAATTATCACGTGTTGGAGGTGGCCTTTCATAAGCTGATCATTTTTGATACGTAAATAACTAGCATAACAATACGCCGTGATTTTGCAGCTTCTCAGACAAAAAGTTCTCAGCGGGCAGCCGTAAAGACGCAACCAATCTTCACCAAAAGCCACCGCGCCTCATTGCTGCCTGTCGATTTCCGCTGAATGTCATGTGGATTTCACATCACTGCCGCTCTATAGCAGATCGCTCACGTCCATTACGGCAGCCCGCTGATTGCCGGTTGAAGCAGCCCGCTCAATGCCAGTTAAAGTTGCCCGTCCACTGCCACTTATAAGGGCCCGCTTACTGCTGCTTATCGCATCCCGCTCATTGCCATCCAGCTACTGGCTCTCGTTTTTTTGAGCTTGCCCTGGTTTTTCACGATCTACTGTCGACCGTGGCGGTAGTGCGTGGATGCCCGTACAGCCCGATTCGCTCTTTTGAGGACCCACCACTTTTCCGCTTCCATGTCTACGCGGAGACTACGGCCTGAAAGTGTGTTTCACGTGATCGTATCATCCACATGTGCAAGTCATGCGTTCAACATGGGAAAACTCAGTGACCCAGAAAAATGCGCTGATATTCACAGAAGCGGGATCGTGGCATGGGGTATCGGTGGATAAAGCGCGCAGAGCAAGGGTAAAGCGGGGGGTGCGGCACGCGACCGCCGAATACGACCCCACCCCTTGGGCCGGACCTGGGCACGACCCCCCCCCCTTCTCCCCCCCCCCCCCCCCTCCCCAGGTTTTATGCTTGGCTAACTGTTTCGATATGTATTATCTTTTGTTTTATTCAAAAGATTTTTCTTAGTGTATACATGAGAAATTATCAACACACCGAAAGCAAAATATCGAAAGTTACAACTCGTAGAGATATCCGACCAGTACTAAGTTATCTTAGGCAGAAAGAGTAAGTCACTCAACCAAACCAAGAGTGAAAAATATTTCTGGCACTAGTGATTTTCCATACATCGGCATCAGGACTGCGACAGTAGTGTCGTAATTTTTCTAATTCTCGCTTTGTAGTCTCTCTTCCCTCTTTTTCATATTCTTCTCTTGTCAGTAGACGTCGCCTTGGTGGAAACAGCTTCCTCCTGGACATAAGAGTACGACAATCCCAAGCTAAAAAATATTTATGGCTTACCAAAAGTACCCAGCAACTGCACCAATGCCTCGCAGAAATGAACCTAGCCAAGATCTTGTGAACTGATGCAGGACCAGGAGAGTGATGACTCCCACTGAAACTTCTTGGACCTAGAGAACGACTCTGGAACACAAATCGGTTAGATTCAGAAAATTAAATGAGTCAGGATCTGAATCTGAGGCGATGGTACAGAAAAGTTGGAAAAAATGAAGTGATCCAAGAAAAATACTGCATAAGACCGCGGGTTGTGACTATATATACCACAATTTAGTTGATCAAAAAAATTTGTGGGATTTGAGAATAAACTTTAAAAATGCAAACAGATTACAACATCAACCTGGAAAGATGGCAATGGTTGAAATACCTCAGACGACGCAGAGATGAGCAAAAGCGCCACAGCTTGCATTGCCCACTAAGCAAAATCCAATGACTGTGCATCCCTTGGTGGGCCCTTTTTCTAGCAGACAGCCAGAGTGATCAACATGACCGTAGCCTGATAATGGATTCGTTCACCATGATTTTATCAACTCGATTGGTACTTACAACATATGCAACAGAGTATTTTTAATACTGTGCTGCGAGCGATGCGAAATTTTTCCAAGTAAGATGCAACATGTACATCGCTAGTGACCATCCACCAACAAGGATTGGTAAACCTATCAATTTCTGAAGACATTCAGCATAGACAGGTGCTAAATCCACAAATAAACTATTGAATGACAAACCTTTGGAGCAAATCTGTATAGGACAAATTCAATTATAAGTAAAGACGCAAGTAGACCGAAAGAACAACCAATTCCATAGAAAGCGTATTTTTGGCTAGACTTCGAGCAAAGATAAATAGTAATATACCAGCTACAAATGCACCGAGGCGAATGTAATTAACATCTAGATTAAGTGAACAATGAAAAAAAAACGAAAAATAAGTAAAATGAACCTACTCAAAACTTTAGCTTGCACACTGTGTGGCAGTTTTGTCACGACTGCAACGACCGTATCATTGAACAAATTCAAGTAATGACTCTTCCACAGATTGACTCCTTTTAGTAAACCGAACATACTATTATCGGCGGGGTAGTCATTTGCGACGACACTGCAGTTGTCACCCTAAAAACATACACTACAAAATAGGATCATGGTAGCATACGATAAGCGTCAAAATATCAGATCCAACAGGGGAAGGCTTCTAGCTGAACTGAACTGGGCTTTTCACATGACACCTATATCACTAGACACGTCCTCGGATGCTGATTCCAAATCTGCTTTCCTTTTCTGCGAAACAATTTTTCGAAAGAAATCATGAGTGTTTGAAAGTCCAATTCATGCTAGTGGCGCAAAATTAGCGAAAAATTGTACAAAAAACACAAACACTGAAACTAGGTATTCAAATTTGTATCAATGCTGACTACAAGAAAGGAGCATAACATGTGGCAATCCGCATGTTTTTGTACAGTCCACTTGAGGCTTGACAAATTTAGGCTTTCAAACACTCATGACTTTTTTGGAAAGGTCCCGAAAAAGAAAAGATTTGGAATCACTATTCAATGCTTTACAAAGCGATATAGGTGTCGTATGAAACAACCGTAGGTTCACAGTAAGGCTTATCACACAAAAGGCGAATGATATATGATTACTCACCTTATAGAGGTTGTAGGTATCACTGTCAGTAAGGTTTAGCAATAACAAAATGTCACTGAAGGCTCTTGACGGACTATATTCCAGCCCTCCCCTCGATAAAGGAACAAATCCATAGTGTTTTGCGCCCATTCGACCAAGAATTTCTTCGTAACTTCAACGTCGTCTCGGTTACCAAGACGAATTTTAGTCTTTGATAAATCGGTGAGAAAATGTTGCAACTGTTCACCATTCATCCTTTCATCTGGAATGAAAAAGTTAAAAGCCGGTTCAAGAGACAAAATGCAAAGGATGCAACAGAAACGAAAACGGAAAAAAACGAACGCGAAAAACAACGGAAGCGACGAGAAAAGAGTACGAAAGCGAAATAGCGGAAAAGCGAACTCGAGAGAAAGGTAGAGAGAGTATGAGATGAAAGAGAGGGAGAAAAATAGAGAAAAATGCGAGAACATCACAGCTCATAACGAGAGTGGGATTCAAAGGCGCGTATCTCGCGCCTCTGTGTGTTTTGACAATCTTTCGAGCGCTACCGTAACCCAATATTTTTGGCCACACTTCCCAGCATATGGTTCGCAAAAACCATATGTATTTCCTTCTAAAGAAAAAGGTTCGAAGGAAAACAGCTACTACGGAGAGAGGAAGGATGAATTTATAGGATGATATGAAAAAGGCAGCTGTTTGAACGATTTGAATGTAAGTTAATGGCCTGCGGCACCCCCCTCAAAACCTGCGGCAGCCGCAAGTTTTGAGGGGGGTGCCGCAGGCCATTAACTATATCAAAAAAACATTTTTAGCGGACAATATTTATATGAATCAATAGCCTAAACCTCATAGATTCCATTGGGATGTTTTGAGCCTGATTCGTCTTCTTAGCTCTGAGTAATATTTGGTGAAAGCACAGCGATCAAAAGCTAAAAGCGATTTTGGTTGGCTTCTAATTCAATAGTTTGGAGGTCTTCTGAAGCGGGATTACTGAGGTGGACAAAGAAGGAGTAGTGCTTTGTATTGAGTGCAAGAAGAGGTAGCTTACTCACCGTTAAGATGAAGTTAATCATGTTTTAAATTACTGCTTTATACAAGGTTGTTTACTGCTCGGAGACCTCAGAGTTCGCTGAAACTTGGCGCATAGGGGTTATTCGACACGCGGATTACGACAATTATGCTTGATTAGAGGTACGGTAGGTTACGGTAGGCATACGGTATCTGCACGTTTGTGTAGTTGAACTTGAATTTTGCAGGATTTCACCAGCGTGACACATCTAAGAACTTAGCTGCAGTCATTTCCCCTTAGAAACCGCTTTTGACCTTGGGTCGATACGACCCCCCCCCCTACCTACCCCCCCCCCCCCTTACGACCCCCTTTGCGGCGTGCCGCACCCCCCGCTTTACCCTGTGCAGAGCACTTTCATGGGGGGAGGGGCACCAAATCGGGCAGGGCTTGCTGACAGGTAAAAATTGACGGAAACCCCGTTGTCAGCTAATAAGATAATTTTGGAGTTTTATAATCCAAAATTGTCTAAAACGGGTTCAAGTGGAAAAGGCTTAAACTAGTAGAAAGAGCTTGATAAAGTCTCCATTGAGTATGAGAGTTTCAAAAAACTTTTGATTTGTTCGATTAATAGAGTCAGTAGAAGACAAAATGAGGTTTTCGAGCCAAAAGGAAGTGTCGTTTTTTGGCGAGGAGGGGGGGGGGGGGAAGCTGTATATTTACTGATAAGGCTGAAAAAGATCTACCATTCAGTATAGAGCTTGCGCCATAATTTTTATCTTTTCCAAGTATCGTCGTCGTTTGCATGGATTTGGCGTCGGTTGGCGCCATGTCGGTGCAGTCGCACCAACTGCGGTGTAGCTGCACGGCGCCAATCGAAAAATACTAGAAAGGACATGGAAGGCCATTTTTTACTGGTGTCTACGAAGCTATCTGAATCTTCCTTCTTCCAAAAATTTTATTCAATAACCCAGCTATTTAAAAAAAACAGTTAGGCATGTTACTTAAGAAATTCAAGAATTCATTGTTTTGAGCTATTTCCAGTATATTTCGTCAAATGGGCAAAGCTGCCAAATGGAGGCGCGGCTGTCCCTCCCACTCAATTTTTTGTACCTCACGCACAGATGCATGCATACATATAGGCAGCCAAATATAACAATGCCTAAAAATAGTTCGTCCACAGGGACGCCGAAAGTCAAAGCTGTGGTCATTGTCGGTACTTCTCCCCTTTTCCAGATCTCATCTTGTCACGCTTCGTAAGCACATGGAACAGCTGCAATAGCGAGTGAGTAACAGCTGGTTCACACTCTCTTACAGTATGCTTGATGTAAATTGCAACGATCCCCGCGTTTTACCGTAGTGAAATGACTTATGTGCCCCCTTACAGTACTTTCGCTCCCCGCTCACAGTATTCTCGCTTCCCGCTCACAAAAACCTTGCTTTCGCCACACTATCGCTTCCTGGTCGTTGCCACCTATCTGCTATCGTCGTCGTCTGTTGGCTGCCTTTGTAGCAATAAACGCGCTCTGCAATTATTTTTTGAGTCATGGAAGGTTGTGGTTGTCCGCTGATAGCCCGTCGCTGCCTGCTCGCTACTCTTTCCGAATTATTGGTGCCCGCTTTTTGAAAATACTTATTATGGCTGCTTGCTGAGAGCCTTTAAATGTTTGAGTTGTACTTATAGTTACCTAGATGCAAGGCTTGTTACGAAAGCATGTGTGGTTGAACAATGCTTTTAGCTAAGAAAAAATTTATATGGGAAATAAATAAGATTTGTGCAGCAAAGATTGTGGATTAAGCCTGATGGGTAATATCAGAGTTTTAGTTAGACAGTAGTCATTGAAGTAGAGTAGATGATTTCGACAGTTAAGACATGATGACAGGAAGTGCTGGAAGGCATTTCTTTACATTTTTAATGAAGGAATAAACAATTAGGGTGATGCGCCTTGACATTTTGAATGCATAAGTTAGCAATTAGCGTATCTATTGTTAATCCTTAAATAAAATGTAACAGTTGTGAGAGCACGATAGATACGCTAATTGCTAAGTTATCATTCAAAATGTCAAGGCGCATCACCATAATTGTTTATTCCTTCAAGAAAAATGTAAAGAAATGCCCAACTCCTGTAGCAATTGGCCACTGCTCATATGCCACATTATTCATATCATACGAGTTTTTGAAAAATCATAACGATTTTGAAGAGGATCGTATTCTGCAATAACGATCTAAAATTTGTTGTTTAACTTCCTGACACTGGCATCGCTTTCCTATACCTTCAAATGCAAGTTTGCTTTTTACCAATTAGTTGGTGCGTAAGCACTTTTCGTAGTAAATAACGCATTGAATCAACGCGATGTTGATGAGCAGGCCTAAGACATGCCTGAGAGCAAGCCACAGAAGCTGAATAATAATTACAGCTCACACGACTTCCTTGTTCTCACCCCCTCTCCTGCAGCTCACTATTCTTCTTTTATCTCTGAACTTCTACAAAACCTGCTCATAATTCGTCGAAAAAGTCGACGCACCAGAGTGCAAGTTATGAGGAGTGTTGTACAAAAAGCAATTTATATCACAACAAGCCAAAGCAGGTCGATGCAACTTTCGATTGATTTCCATCAATTACTGAATAATGATGTTATAACTTTTGTTGCGCTCCCGTTTCGGTGTCCTACTTACTAACTTAGATACTTAGATGGCCCGTCCTCACGTAACGTGCGGGCCCCAGTACAGAAGTTGCCATTTTTCCCTGTCCCTCGCTTCAGACATCCAGGATCTTCTTGGCCGTCGTCGGTGGCTGCGTCCACGAGTTCCAGGGGCGAAAGTCGTATCCAGCTGATTTCTCAGCTGGTCCATCCGTTCCACGAACACGTCTGCCCATCTCGTCAGTGGTCTTTCTCGAAGACGTTTGGCTTCGCGAGGAATCCACTCAGATGTGCTTAGTGTCCATCTGTCGTCTGTTCTTTTCATTATGTGACCGGCCTATCGGTGTTTGGCTTTCGCAACGTATTCCGCTGGGTCACGATGACGGGACATTCTTCTCATATCCGTGCTGCGAAGTCCGACTAAATGTTGCTTGCGTCGGGTCAACTTCAGAAGACTGCGCTCAAGCGCTCTGTGGATGGTCCGTAAAGCTTTCGACGTGGCTACAGTGTCGGCCCAAGTCTCAGCTGCGTAACAGAGCGCCGGGAGACGGTTGAGTCGAACAGGTGGGCACGAAGCTCCGGGTCCGTCAGTTTGGTGAAAGCGGCCCAGGCTGCTCTTCTTCTCCTGTTAAGCTCTTCCCTCAAGTCGTTCTCCATGTTCATTGAACGTAAGAGATACAGGTAAGAAGACGCCTCCATAATAGAGGTGCCTTCCAATTCCATTTCTGCATCTTCGCAAAGGGCGTTCCTCATGAACTCAGTCTTCTTCCGATTTATTCGCAGTCCGATCTTCTTCCCTCTTCGTTCAGTTCCTTCAGCATCGTCTCTGCTTCGGTGATACTGCTCGAGAAGAGAACGATGTCATCCGCAAAACGAAGGTTGGATAGGAATCTCCCATCAACTCGTATGCCTCTCTCGTCCCAGTCCAGTGACTTCATCACCCACTGCAAGGCCGCGATGAACAGCTTCGGCGAGATTGTGTCGCCTTCGGACCCCCTTCCCGATTGGTATGGTCAAGGGGCGATGGAACAGCTGCATCGTTGTTGTACAATTCTTGTAGCAGTTGGCTAGTGTCCTCACGTAGGCTGGGTCCACTCCTTGATCGACTAGCGCTGACAGGATGGCGTTGGTTTCGACGCTGTCGAAGGCTTTCTCGTAGTCGACGAAGGTTAGGACGAGAGGCAGTCGGTACTCCCGGCAGACTTCTATGACCCTCGAAACGGTCTGGATGTGGTCCATGCAGCTGAATCCTTTGCGAAATCCAGCTTGTTCTTGAGGTTGGGCTTCATCCAGTGTCCTTGATATGCGAGCGAGGATAATCTTCGTGAAAAGCTTGTACAGCACACTCAGGAGGCATATTGGACGACAGTTCCGAAGATTTTCCCGTTCACCCTTCTTGAGGAGAAGGACGGTTCGTGACGTTTTCCACTGATCGGGAATCTTCTCATTCTGAAGCTAAGGCCCGTATGCACGTACATCCCCGCTGGGGAGGGGAGGGGATCTGAGAGGGGATGCGCCATATCTCGCTACTTTCCATATCTTTCTTCTTCCTTTTCTATCCTG